TGAATCCTGGTTTGTGAAGTGGTGGCAAGTTACTAGATAAGTTTCAAACATCAGCTGACGCCAGTACACTTCAAAACCAGACTTTCACCTGCCTGTGGGTGCACTTGTGTGAGGGGGGAAAAACTAATTTACTGCGCTGTCATTGCTTGTGCAGGTAGCCAACCCCAAAATCTGGAAATGGGTTCGACTAGTTCATTACAAGGGAACTGTTGTACGAACTGTTGTTCGAACAACAGTTCGTACAACAGTTCGTACAACAGTTCGTGGTTTTCAACGGACGAAGAGGTTCTGGAGACGGCTCCATGGGTTTCAGAGGACGAGACGGAATTTGAGACCTTCAAATTTGGACCTTCAAAGTTTAGTCTAAAAGGCAATTACCACGATTAAGAAGTCAATACCACTACAGTATGAATACATAAAATGTATAGGCTACGGAGCCTTCGGTCCAGTGGTGGAGTGTCAAAACAGAGACACTCAGGAAGTTGTGGTGGTTAAAATTCCCGTCTCACGTCTGCAAGACACTAGGTCGGAGGTAAGCCCGAGTTTGAATATTATTTAAAGTGTACATGACAGGATATATTATATTTCATGATGTTCTAATGATTACTGTATTTTTATGGACTATAAGACGCTCCGAAGTATAAGTTGCACCAGCCAAAAAATGTGTAATGAAGAAAAAAACATAAAAGTCACACTTTTTGGGGGAAATTAATTTTATAGAATCAGAGACAAGGAACCAACATTTCACCTTGAAAGTCAAGTTCTAGTAAAAATAATAGAACAGAGAACAACAGACTGTTAATGTCACATATGAACAGTTCTTCAGATAACTCTCGCATAAACAACAGAAAAAGTTGACCAAACTCTCCATCTCACTCCAAATCACTAAATCCGTTCAATTCTTCATCCTCTGTGTCACTTCTGAGCAACTCCGTGACCTATATAGAATTGTTCCGGCCTGCCTGAATCCTGACAGGATGGTTTCGGTTCTCACTGAAGTCACTTAAACTGGTACAGAAGTAATGGTGCGATGGACTGACCAGATCCCACACAGGACAGCGGCTCTTTCTGCAGGAGACATGTGCAGTAGAGCCAAGAGACAGTGGTACCGGAGTAATAGTAGCAGCAGACAAGCCTAGAGCGCCCTCTCGAGGCTGTCAGTGTGAAAATTTTAACATATAAGTCACACCGGAGCATAAGTCGCAGGAAACACCCAAACCATGAAAAAAAGTGCAACTTATAGTCCAAAAAATACAGTACTTGTTTTGGTGGGATAGTACATGTTATAAATATTTATTATAGTTTTGTGTGGTGGGAAGAAAAGTACAGAAATACTTAAAGGTTTTCTTACCATTATGCTTGATGGGGAACAGTTCTACAGTTTCCTGTGTGTTTGTCATACGTGTTCATGTCCAACTAGGAAATAAAACAATAAACCTGACCAAAATGAAAACAGAAATACAAAAAAAATGAATAATTGAAGAAAACTAGTAAAGAATGTTAGTATAAATGTAAAATTGTAACATGTAACTACTATTCTGTGCAGGTTCGTATACTGCGCCGCCTGATGGAGCAGGGGGCGGACCAGAGGAACATAGTGAAGTTCTTCGGGTCTTTTAAAGCTCGTCTCGGCAAAGGCATGATCTTTGAAAAGCTGGACATGACTTTAGATGACTTTTGGTGGATTCATTGCCCTTTGCCCCTCTCGGATATTCGCACCATTATCCAACAGGTAAAACAGTGCAAAGTGTTTTTGTCTAAGTACACACAAAATGTTCAAATGACTTTACAGGTTTTATACCGATTTAAGTTATACATGTTGTGATGTAATATACTACCAGTCAAAAGTTTGTACACAGACTTTTCTCATTCGGGACTCCCTTGGCGTTTCCCTTGGCGTTTCCCTTGGCGTTTCCCTTGACGTTTCCCTTGGTGAGACTAGTGTTCCATGTCCCAAAACCCTACACTTTACCAAATGAACCGTTCTAACCCTAATTCTAACCCTAACCTTAACTTACTTTACACGTGCTAAAAAACAAAAACATGAGAAAAAAATGTATATGGGATTAAGTCACAAAGAAAAAAAGTATATAAGTAAATAGTATAAGACTAGGGATGTAACAATAACCGAAACATCGTGATGTTGTGATGTCGTATCGTCAAAGTTCTCTCAATAATATCGTGGACCATCACAATATATCGAATTACAAGTCTAGTTGCGTATATTAAGAGTTTTGGTGCAGCCATAGCTAAAAAAAAAAAAAAAAGACAGCGGGAACTGCATAGACCATGATCCTTTGCTCCATTTCAGTGTAGACTACAAGAAGAAATAACAGTTCTAAACACTTTTAAGTCTTAGTTCTTTGGATTAAGTCTTTAAGTTTTAGCTGTTTAGCCTCCACAAATATCGCAGTAAATATCGTACCGTGAGATGTACATCGTGAAAATATCGTACCGAGAGATTTGGATATTGTTACATCCGTAATCGTGAGCTTTCCCACGATATCGCAATAAATATCGTACCGTGAGGTTCATACCGTGACGATATCGTATGGTGAGACTTGGATATTGTTACACCCCTATATAAGACTGCAAATATATAAGACTATATTTGTATTATATTTTAGATTTAGATGCCTCAAAGTATAGTAAACTTTTGACTGGTGGTGTTTAGCAATATAAAGTCGTGGTAAAATGTCATAAAAAGATCATAGTGGTGGCTCAGAAGTCACGCCCAAATCCGTACTGGTTCTACAAGTATTTCCCATTCATTTCACCTTGAGGTTATTATTATTTTTTAAATTATTATACTTGTTGATTTGTCTATTGTATGTTTAATTTCGCTGTTCAGCACTCTGGTAAGCTTTGGCTGTTTTAAATGTGCTATGCAAATAAATTTGAATTGAAATGATTTTCCTATAGAATTAAAAAAAACAAAAACAAAAAAACAGATTTAAAATAACAATATACTAGTATGGTCTTGGTCTTGTCATCATTAGTTAGCTGATTAGAGCAGATTACTTTTACCCTTTTACCAGATTAAAGTCTACAGGAAAAATGAATGGGAAATTAAAGATAATGATAAATAAATCACAAACTTTTAATCTAATTGTTTCTGTTGTAACATTGTGCAGGTGGCTACAGCTTTGGAGGCGCTGAAGGAGATGTCCTTAATCCACGGGGATCTTCACATGGAAAATATAATGATCTGTGATCATACCCAGAGGCCTTTGACTCTCAAAGTCATTGACTTTGGCTGGGCCATGTCCACAGCCGAGGTCACAGCAGACTCGCACGTCCCCGGCGTCAAGTAAGATATGGGATTCCTGTTTATGTGATGAAGGGGAGACACTGCAGGCACACACATATGCACATGGTTTATTATTTCATTTAAGTTGCTTTCATAGATTTATATAGGACTTTGTAACATCAGTTTTACCTAAATGTACGGCTGTATGTTGCACATACACCAAACTTTCTAATATAGTATTTTTGTATATATATATTTTTTTGTATCTAATCTGACAACAAAATAGAAAAAAAAATCTGGCTATCTCTGCCCATTTACAGATTGACATGTCCCAAATATGTGCAACGTTGGCAATTTTTACACATAAAATGCCTTATTTATAAATGTTTTTTTTGTACTACAGAAAAGGTTTCCAAATGACATCTCCAAATTTCAGATTATTTTCCTGATCGCCTGCAGTGTCTTGCCTTAATAACATCGATCTTGTACATTTTAAGTTCATGTCATGTCTTTGTTCTTCCCTCAGGGCTCCAGAAGTGATTCTGGGGATGCACTGCAATGAAGCTGTGGATGTGTGGAGCCTGGGAATCCTGTTTGCCCTAATGTTGATGGAGCAGGATATATTCCCTACCACAGAACAAAATCAAATAGTAAGTCACCATCCATAAATCGATATAGAGGTGGCAGGCACTAACAGAAATGAATAACTTGATTTTTGCATTATCTTCATAACAATATTCAGACAATATTTTAAAGAGGGAATATTCCACTAATATGAGGTATTAACTGCTAACAGGTAACATGTTTAGATCACCATGTTCCCCTTTACTGTTTTGGATATGCTCAGGTTTGTGAAGTTGTAGTGTTTTATTAGCCTGATTCATCAGCCGGTTTCACTTCGTGGAAACCGTCTGGCCTCATAGCGTTAGAATTTGTTTGCTCGTTGGTAGGCGGGTACTTTTTTATTTAACCAATCGCTGCTATTTGGTCGTGACGTATGTAATGCTCCGATAACGGGGCTAACTGGTAGATTAAGTTTTTCCCAGATCCCGTAGGAAGAAGGGCAATAACATCTTTCCCCTTGATAAAATTCACCAAACATTCTCTTTGCTCCGGCTTTAAATCCTCGATCTCGGGAATCGTTGCCAACACAGGATGTATGGCTCTTCTCTGATTGGCTGGTGCCCGAACTCACATAGTGCCTGGAAGAGAGATCACTAAACTACTCAAACATGCATGGATGACATTTAAAACCTCTTTGGGCATGTTTTTGATGAGGGAATGTTATAACATGGTAAAAAGCTCCAAAAAGTCGATTTTTCATGATACCCCCTCTTTAACAATGCATTTTGCTTATCAAATTTTTTTATATACACGTCCCACCTCTATGTAAACAGTAAATCATTTTAATAAGCCTTATCTAACATGTGTTTCTCTTATAAAGATGAAGGTTATAGTGCACCTCTTCGGCACACCATCTGCCTCCTTCCTCGACACAGGAACTGAGACATGTGTGTACTTTAAACGCATTGGTCAAAATTGGATATTTGAAGTGAGTATTATCTTGTTGGATTAAAAAATATAATTACATCATCTTATATGCCAAATAAACTACCAGTCCCAAGATTGGCCCATTTAAAAAAATATAGAAGAAACATAAATGAAAAAAATGTGTCCAAACTTTTGACAGGTATTGTATATTATTAAAATGTGTGATTTTAACTTTCAAAATCTTTTTAGGCTGATTTAGCACGCCAGTGTGCTTGCTCGCACTTTACTGAAAAGTACAATTCACTTCGTCATGTGATAGAGGTAAGCGATAGAGCAAAATTGAAACACGGATGTTAAACGTGAAAATGCGAATACTAATCTATCGATGACTTGTTTCTAGGGCGAGTTCAACTTGTCGAGCCTGGAGGACGACAGAGACATGGAAGCAGCCACATTGTTGCTCGGCAGGATGCTGGAAGCTGACCATGACAAAAGAATTACACCGTCTGAAATCCTCCAGCATCCATTTATCCGTGATGAACTGTAAGCCTGTAAAGTCAGCTTTTACTTTATAATAACTACTAGGGATGTAACGATATCCAAACCTCTCCATATGATATTCTCACAATATGCTTCTCACGATAACTGAAATATCGTGATATCGTATCATCAAAGTTCTCACAATAATATCGTGGACCATCAAAATATATCAAATTACAAGTCTCTTTGCTCAAATTTAGAGTTATGGTGCAGAAAAAGCTAAAAAGAGACAGAGGGAACTACATAGACCATGATCCTTTGCTCCATTTCAGTTTAGACAAGAAGAAGAAATAAGTTAACATTTCTAAGCACTTTTAAGTTTTAGTTCTTTGGATTAAGTGTTGTCAAGGCAATTTAAGAGGAAAAAGGAGAATATTTACAGTTTTGTTAGCTCCACAAAATATCACAATAAATATCGTATCGTGAGATGTACACTGTGAAAATATTGTACCAAGAAATTTGGATATTTTTACATCCTTAATTGTGAGCTTTCCCACGGTATCGCAATAAATATCGTACCGTGAGGTTCATGCCGTGACGATATCGTATCGTGAGATTTGGGTATCGTTACACCCCTACTGTACGATATTTATTGCGATATTTTCCTCTCATTTAAGAGTGCATCATAACAGTTATTTCAGCATGTTGATTGGACTGAAACAGAGCAAAGGATCATGGTCTATGTAGTTCTTTAGCTGCTGCTGCTGAACCAAAACAATGAATTCAAGCATAGACACTTGAGATTCGATATATTGCGACGACTCACAATATTATTGTGAGACTTTTGATGATACGATATCACGATATTTCAGTTACTGTTACATCCCTAATAACTGCACCTTAATTAGTCTTAATATAGAATGAACAAAGAGCATAATATGACAGATTAGACTTTTTTTTTGAAGATTTTACTCAAATTCTTGCCATTTTTTTTTCTATTTACTGTATATATTTTGTAATTTTACTTCCTGGTCAGACACAGGAAGCTAATATGACACAAACTATAACATAAACAAAGGCTAAAACTGAGTAAATTACATAATAATTACGATGGCAACACTTTCATTTAGCAAGATGAAGGTTTTCTCGACTTGACTTTACACAATATTAGTCGGTACATTTGATAACATGAGCTGTTTTTTTGTCATTACAGTGAGAATCCTTCAGTGAGACAACTTTACATCCCCACAGAGGACCAGGAGGATGAACGGTAAGAAAAATCTGCGTAGAATGATAACAAAAAAAAAGACTAAAACATTTTAGGTTTATGTAACTGTCTTTTTTCTTTCACAGTGACATATTCAACAAGCCACTGACCCGTGAGGAGATCAGTGCAGTTCTCCCGGAAGGCTTCAAAGTCATCAAAATGCTGGGGAGTGGCAGGTTTGGTCAGGTGTTCAATTGCAGACGAGTGGACACCGGGAAGAGTGTGACAATCAAGCTGCCATATTCACACAACAAGACTCAGCGTGAGGTAAGTGTGACACCAAACTTTAGACTTTACATTTAAATAGTTGGGAATAATAGTGTCAATGGTCACAGTTATCCTGCCACTAAAAACAGCCTTACCCACACCACAAAGCACCTGAAGCAAATGTATTATAACACCAGACTGAAATGTCGCGTATTGAGGGACAATTTTCTCATATATCAGTCTGCCCGCAAATTGGGAACGTTCGCTTTTTTAAGCTCTATCAAACACGGAGAAGCGGAAAGCAATTGTCTAAAATGTGTGTGAGATTAGACGACATCCACAAGTTTAGGCTGCTTAAAATGTTTTTATTAATGCCAAATAAAATATTCAGCGCGTTTTTAGATTAGAAAATGGATTTAAACAACAAAATTTCAGGAACTTGCGATTTATTTAGGCCATGGTCACGTTTATGTGTCTGATTTTCAACAAGAGAGAAAAAAGAAGAAATGTTGACTATAATACTGGACACAAAATGAGCTCACGTGTTGTTGTATCTATAGACTCTTACATGTTAACACTCCACTAACCTGTTTTTTGTTTTGTTTTTCTCCAAAATCAGATCCAACTGCTGGAAACAATTGCAGAACAGAAGGCGGATCATAAAAATATAGTGACATTTATTGAAACGTTGCCAACCGGCCGTGGGGAGGCTCTAGTTTTGGAGGAGCTAAGTATGAACTTAGCTTCGTACATTAAACAACGCTCCCCACTGCCCATGAGTGACATCCGGGCCGTTATCCAGCAGGTAAGAACCGGTTAAACAAATGCAGAATCTGAGAGAGAATTTATTTTTGTGTTTTAATTGAACGTTACAACTTTTGCAGACGGCCACGGCTCTACAGACCCTGGAGTCCAAGGGGATAATCCATACGGGTGTTACAATGGAAAACATCTGGCTGTGTCACCGTAGCAACGAGCCAATTAAGATCAAATTGGCCGATTTTGGAGCTTTTATCGAGCAAAAGAGGACGATACCGGGCATGACGGCGCAACGTGTCCACTACAGGTAAGGTGTACTGTTACATGTGTACAGCAGAGGTGGGTAGACTATCCACAAATGGTACTTAAGTAAGAGCAACATGACAACTATTTCCTTCATTATTTGTCTCCAAAACCAAAATGAAAAAACGGTTAACAATTCATTTTTTTCAGTTTTCGATTTTGTGTTTAGATGAATAATGGAAAAAATAGGTAACTGTGACTTAAACTGCGATGCCAGATTTTGCGCTTCATACGGACTGAACCAGGACTAAAACAGGACTAAAAACCGGTTCTCAGTCCTGGTCCTGGTCTGGTCCTGGTCTCAGTCCTAAACCAGGACTGAACCAGGACTAAACCAGGACTGAACCAGGACTGATTACTGAACCAGGAGTGTCGGGACGGGCTCGGAGTTGCGCCCGCGTACACTGTAGGGTGATTAGGACCGACCCGGACCAGACCGGGACTCAGAAAAGGATCAGACCAGGATTGAGACCTGTTTTAGTCCTGGTCCAGTCTGTGCGGCGCAAAAGTCAAATTTATGAATTATGACTTAATGTAATTGGACAGACAATACACAGAATATGACATTTCCAAAGAAAATCATGAAAAAAATGAAAATACAAAACAAATCATATCTGAAGGTCAGTTGTAAGTAGCGCAGATTATTATTTACGCTTTTTTACAACATAAAGTTTTCCAGTTGTGTTTCAGTTGTTCACAGTGGGAAGAGTATCCATAAACTTTACCCAAATAACTTCAAACTAAATATTACTCAAGTAAAATGAGTGCTACCCACCTCTGCACAATTGGAGATAAATTATGCTTTTATTAAGTGTGAACATGCTTTTATGTGTGTTTATATTTTGCATTTGTTCCACAGAGCTCCAGAAATCATCCTTGGACTCCCGTTCGATGAGGCCATAGACGTCTGGTCTCTGGGCACCATGTCGGTCACTTTGCTCACTGGGTGTGATTTGTTTCCCGACCGAACAGAATTTGAGACTGTAAGTACACTGTTGTTCTGAAGAAAACGTTCACACAGTCTTAAAAATCCAAACATTTAACCATGTTTTTTATCTTTTGTTTCTTTAGCTGACGACTATAGTCAAAATATTCGGTCAACCTCCTGACTACGTCCTCAGTGAAGCGATCAACACCCATGAGTATTTCAATGCTGATGGGGCCAGCTGGAAGATAAAGGTAAACAGGTTTTTATTTCACCAATTAATTTAAAGTCATCATGGTAATTCACCCAGATTTTCTTTTGGATTAGACCGCACAGGAGTTTGAAGAGTCTTCTCAGCTGCCTCAGAATACGATCAAGACCCACGAAACAGACGCCTTTGACTCTTTGGATGAAGTAATTCAGGTATAATTTAACTTTAGGTCAACATTTCTTCTGTTAAATTTGTGTTCACAGTTCTTATTTTGGAATTATCTGCTCTTTTTCAGTCCAGTGTTGCACACAGTTATGACAGCGCTGAGCTAGCTGCGTGCATTGACCTGGTGAAGGCGATGCTCACTCTGGACGGGACTCAGAGGATCACTCCTGCTCAGATCCTGGAGCATGACTTTATCAGGTGAGTAGGAAATCCCACAACAAAACTATGCCAGAATACAGTGTGCAGCAAAAGTCAAATATTAAAATAATTATGTTTGTTTTGTTGTTTGCAGTATGAGCAGAGAGGTGGAAGCGCCAGTGTCTGAGGAGCAGGTCGACGCCGTCCAGAAGCCCCTGAAGTCACCCGTTTTCATCACGGTCAAACCAGCCTCACCTGAAAACACCACAGCCTTTGTAGAAGATCCTCCAGTGAGCAAGAGGTGAGTACGCTTCTGTAGTTTTAGGGGAGATTGTTACAGTGCGTGATAGGTTTTCATGATTTCAAATTACGACTTAGTTTGGTGGGATGGTACCTGAGACAAATACTGTATGTGTTATAGTTTTACACCAGTTAAGGGTCTTAAAATGAGCGAGTCAACCAGAAGTCTAACACGGTTGTTGGCGGAGGCGCAGAGGTGGCGGAGGCGGCGGAGGCGGTGTTGGCGGAGGCGTGGTGGAGGGAGCGGCGGAGGTGGCAGCGGTGGCAGCAGTGGCAGCGGCGGCAGCGGCGCGGAGGCGGCGGTTGGTGGCGGAGCGGCAGCAGCAGCAGTGTGGACTATGCCCTCTGAACCAGTCTTAAGGGAAAAACCTAAAACAATAGCGCAGTTTCTGGAGCAGGACAAGCTCCAGAGTGGCAGGTGAGCACCACTTGGGTTGGTTTTTGGAGATTTATTTTGTGTTATAACGTTGTTCCCTCATCAAAAACATGCCTGAAGTTTTATATATCTGCCATGCATGTTTGAGTAATCTAGCGATCTCGGGCTCCACCTTAAGTTTCCAAAGCCACACTGGAAAAAAAACTAAATCTAGTCAAGTTACGATGACTTGAATTAAGAAAGTTTTATCATGATTTGAGTAAATTTCACTGGACATGTAAAATTACTGCCAGTGGAACAGGACTTTTTGTACTTAAAATATGAAAATACATCTTGCTACACTTAAAAACAACAACTTTTTGGACTTAAAATAAGAAACAAAATTGAATGTTGCTTGAGTTAAGAAAAACACACTTATTCCATTGGTGGATAATTTTTCTTGTCAAGTTGAATCGAATTTAAGTCAATTTAACTTACCTAGATATTGTTGTTTTTTTTCCAGTGCAGTTATGATAATGTTAAAACTTGTTACATAAATTAAATCTAACACAATATATTTTGTCCACAGGATGCAAAGTAAGATGGAGGCAAGACTGGACACTGAGGAGAAGACCAAAAGGTATGAACCAATGACTTGAATAATTATAATTACAGTTGATTTGCTTGAGCTTGACACCTAAACATGTCCGTTCTTACAGCCCACAAAAGCAGAAGAAACTGTGCTGGACAGAAGAGTCTCCGATGCCCAAAACAAAGAGAAGACTACGCTGGAAGTGGAAAGTGGCTCCGATGCCCCAGGAGCAGCTCTCGGCAGGTAAGACTCACTTCACTTTAACACTGGTTTACACGAACAACAAACATCTGATCTCTGGTGTTATCAGATTATAGAAATGTCTAAATCTGATGTGAGAAATCTGATTTATTTGCCCAAAGCTGCACAAGTGTGAACAGTCGAACAGGAAGAGAAAACGAATGTGGCAAAGACAAAATTATAAGAATGAAAGAGTTCTTTTAAAATTCATTGCACTTTGTCGTCCAAATACAACAGTCTAAAAATCTAAACCAGGACTAAAACAGGACTGACTAAAACAGGACTAAAAGGACTAAAACAGGACTAAAACAGGACTAAAACAGGACTACTAAACAGGACTAAAACAGGACTAAACAGGACTAAACCAGGACTAAACCAGGACTAAACAGGACTAAACCAGGACTAAACCAGGACTAAAAAAGGACTAAACAGGACTAAACCAGGACTAAAACAGGACTAAAACAGGACTAAAACAGGACTAAAAAAGGAAAAACAGGACTAAACCAGGTCTAAACCAGGTCTAAACCAAGTCTAAACCAGAACTGAATCAGAACTGAACCAGGACTAAATCGGGTCTAATACAGGACTACAACAGGACTAAAACAGGACTAAATAAGGAGGTCTAAACCAGGACTAAACCAGGACTAAAACAGGACTAAACCAGGACTAAAACAGAACTAAAACAGGACTAAAACAGAACTAAACCAGGACTAAACCAGGAGTAAACCAAGGCCTTAAACCAGGACTGAAACAGAACTAAAACAGGACTAAACCAGGACTAAAAACAGAACTAAAACAGGACTAAAACAGAACCAACTAAACCAGGACTAAAACCAGGAGACTAAAACACTAAACAAACAGGACTAAACCAGGACTAAAACAGGACTAAAACAGGACTAAAACAGGTCTACAGCCCTGCTTATAATACATGACCTTTACATAATCTGTAACTCCAGAATCATTCAGATCACACTTATATTTTTGGTTTGACAGCAAGTTGGGTTTGCTCATATATGTTTGTATATATTTTTTAGGTTCTTCTGGCCCACCGAAGCAAAAGAAGAAGAACTGCTTCCAAAAGATCCTGTCCTGGTTCAGACGTGCCAGCTGTTTCTGCTCTAACACGGTGGAATAACTTAAGTGACGGGGCGCGAAGGGGCACTGGGGGTGCTGGGGGGCGCTGTGTAATGGGCAGATTAGGGTTAGGGTTTTGAAGTGATCACTTGGTCACTTTGTTGGATCAGACTGGGGGCTAAAAGAAAATTAAAATAGCGGGAGTGCTGTTTATTTAGGCTTGTGTTACGAGACATGGGCGTAAATAAAGGCAGAATTCAGGGCAGGGGGGATTTGCACCGATAACGCGATCCAGTCTGTAGGTGGTCACTTTGTTGAATCTCCTTAGGGGTTAAAACAAGAAAAAAATAGTGAGGGTGGAATTTATTTAGGCTTGTGTTTGGAGACATGGGCGTAAATAATGTGTTAACCCCCTGATGGGTGAAAGAAAAAGAGGGAGGAATGGAAAAAACAGCAGCAAAAAGAGACGACCCCAAGCAACCACGGCCCCCGCTCACGTCAAACAAGAACCACCATGGCGGCATGGTGGCTGAGTGGCTAGCATTCGTGCCTCACAGCAAGAAGGTTCTGGGTTCGATCCCCGGGTATCTGTGTGGAGTTCATGTTTCTCTCCGTGTCTGGATGGGTTTCCTCCGGGCGCTCCGGTTTCCCCCATCAACCCAAAACATGCAAAATAATCAATAAAATACAATTAAATACAATCAAGTCAATCATTGTTTGTCCTTAATGCCTAGTATGAAAGTGGTGTGTGAGTGTGTGGTGGTGGTTGGAGGGACCGATGGCGCGCTTCTGTCAGTGTGCCCCAGGGCAGCTGTGGCTACAATTGTAGCTTACCATCAAATGAATAATGCTCTATAAAGTGTCTTTGGGGACAGAAAATGTCTTTGAAAAGCGCTATATAAATAAAGACTTACTTACTTACAGCCCCGAGCAAAAAGCCCTCGACCCCGTACACCTGGAGCACCCCCCACAAGAAACACGGTGAAACGTCACATCTGTGAAACTCAACGTCCAAAAACTCATGTGGTCTGAATTTTAAAAATAACAATATTGGAGTGCTACACTGGATCATAAAACTTACACATACAGGTGCTCATCTTAGGGTCTGCAGCTGTAAACATCTATACACCAAAGTACACTTATTGTTGCTACAACTGTTGGTTTAATTTACTCTTCACCACTTCCTGCTTCTGAAGAGTGCGGACGCTATCTTTGCTTGCTCCTGCTGTTTTCGCTTTTTAATCAGTTTACCTCCTCCAACAACGGCCTATTTTTGATAATGTGTCTATTTTTGATTTCCTTTTAAGCAAATTAATACTTTTAAACATTTTTACATTTTTTAACAAATCATCTGATGAGCCAGCAACATGTCGGGGAGAAGAAACCAAGGGAATTCTATCTGTGAGCGCTGTCGGAACTATCAACAAGAAATTTATGAGCTGCGAGCACGGATATTTGCTTTAGAAACTGAAAAAGGACTTCATCAGATGCTACCAGTGACTTCCAGTGGTGAGCAACTGTCAGCTTCTTCTGGAGGGGCCTGAAAAGAGCCTTAAAAGAGAGTCCAGAAGGATTAAAGGTGTTCACAAACATGTCTCTTTATTAGGCTCACACAGGTACAGATCTCTTGATTCAAGTTGATTCACACAGCATCTCTCCACGTCACCTCTCCTAGTACAAGAAGAGCTGACAGCTTTATACTGACCATCTCGTCAGAATATTGACAAACTGTAACTGGTATTTACAGGAAATTCACAGAAATGTTGACCTAGACAGTGTAACCACAGATAGTCATATGATAAAGAGTTCAGACACTCCCCCTTTATGTCTCATATACATCACAAAGTCCATCAGAACATGTCCCAAACTCATTGACATTTTAAAGTTCAGACACTGACTTCTCTTTATGACACATGTACAAGAACATTGAACCCCTTCCACATTACATGGTGAATTAACATTAATGAAAAACAAAAAATATAGAAATTAATTCCCACAAACTCCCTCTCTTGATCACACTTACACGTGTGATCATAAAACAAAGTTTAAAGAGACATGTCACCTCCTCATATGAGTAAATACCAATAAAATATCTTAGCTCTCTTTATTACAACACATCTCAGGTTTTACTAACATAATACACTTGAATAACATAATGCATGATCAAAACATGACTCTCGGACAGCAGAATAAGAGGCAAGGAGCACCTTTAAATTTAGTTTTATCTATATTTAAGTCAAAAGTTAAATCTGTAGGGTTTTAATCAAACCCAGTCATCAGGTTTGGGATGTCAGAATTGAAAATCAGCAAATAGTAATAAAATCTAAGAAATAAGTGCATGTGTCAGAACAGAAGTAACCAATTGTTTTACCAGTGATCTGAGACATGGGATGATGCAACATCCAATTTAACCAAGTATTTTCATTCAAATTTTGTCCTGTTTCAATTTCAGTAGTTTTAGTTGAAACATTAAATCACTCTCTTAAGTGGGCTTATCAGTTTAAAATTGTCATTTGTATATAGCCTTCAAAATGTAACTTTATTTTCCATTGCATGGTATAGAAGTAGTATAACTTTGGCAATCCCAATTGCATAATAATTTCTTTTATCAAACAAATGTCTCTACTTGAATAATATACTACAAAATGTACAAATTTAGGCATTTCTCTTTTGTACTTTTTGTTAATTTCAGTGCTCATTGTCTTTTACCCATTGTTGGTTGCCTATTCAGTTGTATGATACAGCTTGTCATTTTGATTGTCGGCTGCCATTTTTGTCCAGCTGTCCGAGGCCAGTAGTTTTATGGATAGAAACTATAACAGAACAGACAAAACAGACAGAAATTAGCATAATCAAAATAAACATTGGGAATAAAAAATTGAAATTTTTCAAAAAGTATATGGCCTATACTCTCCTTCTATGTTTTTCTCCCCCTCTTCTCCTCCCTCTCTTCTGAAGCCCTAAAGGTGGAATGTAGTCAGAGTTGTCTCTCAGGGTCTCTTTTTTTCCAGCGACGTCTAGACGTGGTCGACTTTTCTCCATCTTCATCAGTAGAATGAAACATGAGTGACATGCCAGTTACTGCCTCAGTTGGTTCTCCCATGACATCATGGTGTAGGATGGTAGCATGCTGAAGCCCACTGTCCGTAGAGAAGAAGAAGAAGTTCACTTTGTACTGGCCTGGGAAGGCTCCACTGCGACCAGGTGTCAAGCGTGGACACAGAACCAGCACAGGCATCTCCAGACGAGGCGCTCAGATGGGCGCTCAGTGCAGTTGTGTCGAAAGATGCTTCGAAGGCAGAACTGTTGACAGAAGTTGAACATGGACTGCGTCAGCTGGTAACAGAGTCGTCTGCAGAGTGGAACCTGCAAACCACGATGTAGATCTCATATCAGTCACAGCACAGCAGTCAGTCACATGCTCCTCCTGAAACAGTTGTCGTAGTACATGGGCAGCAAGACTGGTAAAAGACAAGAACTCTGAGTGGAAGATGATCTCTACCCGGTTGTTGCAGAGACTAGTGCAGCACACTTAG